TCACGATTTTATCGCCACTAAACAGTCTCTGCATTTTAAAAATGTAAAGAAGAATTTAGAAGTTGGCGATTTCGTGGTAACTCTCGATTTTTCAGAAAATTTTGCATTTGTTGTTCAGGAAGCAGTCCAAGGATTTCACTGGAACAACAATCAGGCAACGGTTCATCCGATTGTCATATATTACAAAAATCGTGAAACAAATGAAATTGAACATGTTTCTTATGTTGGCATATCGGATTGCCTTAACCACGACACTATTGCGGTATATACGTCTCAGAAAAAATTAATCGATTTTCTGAAAAGAAATTTTTTAATCGTCAACAGAATTATATATTTTTCGGATGGAGCACCTCAACAATATAAAAATAAAAAGAATTTTGTTAATTTAACCCATCACTTGACAGATTTTGGAGTTGAAGCTGAATGGAATTTTTTCGCAACAGCTCATGGAAAAGGAGCCTGCGATGGCGTTGGAGGCACATTAAAACGAATAGCTCGAAGATACTGTTTACAAAGTGGAACCAGAAATGAAATTTTGACCGCGCAAAAACTTTATGAATGGGCAAAAGAAAATTTTAAAAATATAAACGTTTTTTTTTATTCAACGGCCGATTATGAACTTGCAGCTGAGTTTCTCACGTTAAGGCATAAAAAGTGCAAGACGATCAAAGGAACTCAGTCCATTCACTTTGCATCGCCAATTAATAAGAACACCCTTAAAATTAAATTGTTTTCGGAAAGTTTAACTTCTGATATTGTTTACACAGAGTAAAAAAATATTTGCTAATTTTAACCAAATATTAATAAGATTTTTTGTTAATCTAGATCTACATAACTTTTGTTACGTTTACAACAAACTATAATCTGTTAACTAAGTACACAGTTTTAAAAGTCATATTTATTGATATCAGTTTTTAGTTTTTTAATTTTATATTGTAAAAAGTTTAACATAATTCTTTGTAAACGTAACATAATTCTTGGTAAATGTAACATCACTCCAAAAGTTATTTGGACCTAGATTAATAAAAAAATATGTTATTAATTGGTTAAAATTAACAAATATTTTTACTGTGTAAATAAGTAGTTTATTAGCTATTTATGTATCAAGGGCATTACGTAGGCTTTAATGCCCAAAGGCGAAACTAGCCCGAGGGCCTTTGGCCCGAGGGATAGGATTTCGCGTGATGGGCATACAATGCTTTATTTTCTACTTAAAGATTTATGTTTTTATCAAAAATTTAAATAATAAATAAACTTGTCAAATTTCCTACTGTCACTGTACCAAATGTTGACTTATGTCAAACAAAAATTAATCAAAATTTTATTTAAGAAATTCCGCAAAATATTTTACAAAATGCAGCCAAGGCTACACAAAAGTTATTATTTATTATAGTCAGTGATTGAAAACAACAAATTTTCTGCAGCTTTGGCTGCATATTGTATGATGTTTTGTAGATTTAAATTTGCGGGCATTATGATAACGCCCGGCTATAACGCCCTGTGGTTGTTATAGATACGTTTACTTATTTGATTTGCAAGGTGTTATGGATCAATAATAGATAAGTAGAAAATAAAATAATTACATACATTACATATTCGGTAAAATGTTTTTCTTGTTAAAATTTTCACAAATCTGGACTGATATTAACAAATATTATTTATCTTACAGTGCACTGCTTGGCTTATCGCTTGTAAAATATTTTGTATTTTTTTAATAATAAAATAAATGTAATGCAATGAATTTAGTCTTTTAATAAAATATAATTAAAATAAATACTACATTTAACTCAATGAAACAATCTCTTTCTCCGTTTGGCGAAGCGAAGTCGCTCGGAGCCATTGATCGCGGGAGTAACGATTTCACGCATCGCATCACAAAAAAATTCATAACTTCTACAATTTTTGAGTCCCCCCAAAAAGTAACTAGTCAAAATTTGCGCAAGATTCAGGGCTATCACCATAAATTTTTTGAAAAATTTTTGAGATGGCATTTTTTGGATAATTGAATTTGTTTAAAAAAAAATGATTTTTTTAATGAATTTTTAGGTTAAAATTTTTGAAAATTTTTTTTTCTTAAAGAGCGCCCAAAAATATGTACATCTAAATTTATCTCGAAATTTTCAGTCGTTTCAGTTTTTTAATATTCGAAAAATAAGAAACGTGACATTTTTTTTTATTTATTATATAAAATCCACAAAAATGCATAAAAAAAATTAAAATTTTGGATTTCTCCTTTATTTATGTTCCTCTGTCGGCCCTGAAAATTTAAAGTAAATCGGAAACATGAAGTGTGAATCTTGGCCGATTTGGCGTGGATCGCCCCATATATATATATATATACAGGGTGTATCACGGTCGATGGTAGGTTAGACGTTTATAGATAACGGCAAAAGATATCGAATTAAATTTTTTATAGCAATTATAATAGGTGTTTTTGCGGTGCTAATCCCGAACTAGTTCGGACATCCTAGGCATGTGCATTTTAATATTTGTCATGCGCACTTTACATTTTTAACCCCAAATTTTAAAAAGCGCATGCCTAGGATGTCCGGAATTAGTTGGGGATTAGCTCCGCGAAAATAGCTAATATCATTTAAAATATTTTTCTTACTACCTCGACTGAAAATACGTTGTTTCGTCCCCGATTCCACGGCAGAAAGTTTACGTTTGATGCATTGGTCAAGCTATACGTATTTTCGGCCGAGGTAGTAAGAAAATGTAATTTTCTTACTACCTCGGTTGTTTCGTCCCCGATTCCACCTCCACCGCCCTCTATAATATCGCTCGTGCCGCAAATGTCGGGGCAGGCATCAATATGTTTCGATATACACATTTAATTTTATCCCGTATTTTCGGCCGGGTAGCAAGAAAAATAGTATACACTACACAGGCAGAAAGTGTGAGAGCCCTGAACTGCGCGCCATGATGCCCCAGTGCAGGAATCTCACACTTTCTGCCCTTGTAGTGTAATATACTATTTCTAAATTATTTTGAACAAAATTCCTCTTCCGGTTTTAACGGAAGCGATATCAACTTTGTTATTTTAAATGAATCATCACATTTTTTTTACATTTTTAAATTCTTATTCATACAAAAATTTTTCCATAAAGATCTCCATAAACGTCTAACCTACCATAATAAATATTTAATGGACGAACAAAATCACAAAAGTACTTGATAGTATAGTATAGCAGAGTTATTAATAAAGTACGCATCGCAATGGGACGGGTCGCGTCGGGAGCGCGCTCGAGCGCCAGGGCCAGAAAAGTCGCGCCGGCTCACAAAATCAAATGTCATTAATCGTTTAATTAAGAATCCATTTTTTTTTTTCGTTTTTCATTCGAAAGACTTTAACGAAAATATAAATTAACACAATTTTCAAAAAGAGCATTGAGAAAATTATAAAAATGCAAATTGTTTATTATAAATAATTTTTTTTATGAAAATCATTTTTTTTAATTTAATTATATTTTTTATGAAAATTTGATGGGTTTTGAAGAATTTTCAATTAAGGTAAAATTTTATTAAAATGCTTTATTTCCATGAGAGATTTTTGAAAAAAAATCGTCAAAAACGCTCTTTTTTAAAAAACTTTTATAATTGTTTATATATATATATTTTAATTTGGGAATATTTTACTATCAATGAGTACTACAAAAACCAATAATTGTTTTTTGTATTTTCCAAAGTCGGGAAAACAGTGATCCGTTTTACGAATTCTCACCCTATTATCATTATAATATCCAAAAAGCGCTAAAAGTTTTAACTCCCCCCTTTATAAAAGTCCTGGATCCGCCCCTGATCCCCATTTATACAAGGCGGATTCTGAAGTTTGAAACACAATTCCTTTCGATATTTTAAGACAAAAAGTTTATATAAAGGGTTTCATCAAAATTTAAGCATTTTGGGGCACAAGTTTAGATGCATTTTTTAAAGTCTTTAAGCTTTATAGCTAATTTCATTAATTACATATCCGACTTGTTTGGTGGTCTAATTGTTTTAAAATGCATTTTCTCTAAAACTATCTTAGACTTAGATCTTATAACACGACGCGCATAGTGTGTCAAAATCATCGATGATTGCGTTTGTTTGGCTCCAAGAAAATGTGTTGACTAAATACTTAAGTATTATAATTGTTATGAATTGATAAAATTTAAATTTATACTTACAAAATTGAATGTAATATTGGCTATCCAACATTTAATTATTAATAAAATAAAAACATGGACTAAAAGATAAATGTACATCTTTCTGTCGCATTTAGGCTGTATTTTTCACCACAGCTATGCACCTTTTAAACATTTTAGGTTGTTTTTGTAAAAAAAAACTCAAAACACCAAACAATGTATGTGGAAGATATATCTATGAAATTAACAATAAAACAAATAATTTTTGACACCCTGTATCCCAGTAAAGAATCATTTTAGGATATACGTTTGTATAAACTTTTTTATAAACCTATATATATTATAAATGAACCTTATACAGGGCAACAACATACTCATTAATTCAAAACAATCTGATTTATTCAAACTTAAGCAATTATTGCCAACCTATAAGTTGATAATAACCAAGATGGAGGGGGCAAAGTTTTCGAAATTTACTGACTTTTGGGAAGCTTTTTCGGGATCGGGACCACACTGTGCAGCGGTACAAAATTAGGAATTTGTCCAAAGTTTTTATTTTATGAGTAGAGGACGCCATCTACGTCATTTCATATTCCTTTTAAGCTTAGTATATCAATCTGACTATTAAGAAATCGATTAGTCTACTTTTTTAGTCAGGCACTAAATTTAGTGTACCTTATTGCCGCCAAAATAATCAGATTTTAAATTGCGGTTCGTGTGACAGTTTGAAATATCCTTATTAACTTTTTAAGTCTTATTTGACTACTATTTTTTGCATACTAGTCACTTTTACAATGAAAAAGAGACTTAATTTAGTTAGGAAAATAATATATTCCTAATATAAATGGGTTATAAGTTTAAACACCTACTTACAGTCATGTCATATTCAGTAATAAAAGCTGGAATTTCGAGCTGATCCGGAGCAATGACAGAGTACAATAATTCCACTCCTGCTAGGTTGTGCACTTTTTGCTTAATGGCACGTGCCATGAACGTGGTAAACCACCAGGTCATTATCTAAAAATAAAAATAAAAACATTAATACAAATTCAATTGTATCACTTTATTCGTCTTCAAACCTTGGTCCAGAATGTAGGGTGAATAACATAAAAAGCCTTTAAGTTTTTCTTGTACTTGTACGGCAGAACATTGTAAACCTCCTTGAGCCATGCAAATGTGGGATAATGTTCCCTTGTTGTCAGTGAATGGAAGTATGCAATCACGTAATCCCCACGTACGATAGGGTCGAGCAAATCAATTAAATACAAGAGCGCCTGAAAAAAAAGAAGAAAATTAAAAATAATTAAATAGAAAATATTAATAAATATTAGGCATATTTTTCACCTGCCACAATATATAAAAGTAAAGGCATATAAAGGCTTGTTTATGGTTTCAATATAACTTTCTTGCTTATACTTGCTACGCTTTAAAAACACATTTTTTAAGCTATGCATCGTTTTAAGAATGAAAACCAACTAACTTAGTGCGTAATTTTCGGGACACCCTGTATAAAATGCTTACAAAAATTTACAAAAACAAAGTTAAAGTTTACAAAAATCAGACATTTTGTTTTTGTAAATTTTGACCTGAAATTCCAATTTCTTGGCCCCAGAAACATGAAACCGCACACTGTGCTGTTCTGAGAGGTGATTTTTGGACTTTCTGTGTGTTCTTGTTAATTAGGTCATAACTAAAATTTTAAGAGCAAAATAAAAAAAATTTGAGGGTTTGAATTGTTTTAATTGGCTGTTTATTAAAAATATTATGCAGTCGTTCAATTATCCAATTAAAACTAGCGATTTAATTGAAATATTTAATATTTGCATAACTAAAAAAAAAGGTTTTTACAATTTTTTTTATATACTTTACTGTTTTGTTGCAATAAACGTTCTAACTTTTAATCTAACCTTTGACGTATACATTTATGTTCCCTTAATTAATATATCCTTAAAGGTTGCCAGGAAACTTAGATCTATTAAAAATTTATTTGACGTTTGAATTGTCATTTTCAGTATACGTATTCTATAATTTTTGTTTAGTTTTTTAAAGTGTTTTTTATAAACAAAAATGAAAAATTGTAGTAAAAGTTACGAAGAAATTCATGAAATTTAACTAAGGTTTATTCATCTTTAGTAAAGTTTATCGGGCCGATAACTTTCATGTCTTGGCAATATCTAGTATCCAAAGAAATTATTCGTCAAATAAATCAAAAATGAATAAATCGGCCCTAAATAAAATGTGGCACCCTTAGAATTATTGTTTAATTATTAAACTTTAATAAATGTATACTATACATTTAACCTTAAATTAAAACTTTAAACGTGTATTACAACAAAACAGTAAAAGATATAAAAAATGTATAGACCTTTTTTAAGGAAATTACCTAATCTTTAATCTGATTTAAAAAGTTATGATAATATTTAAATAAAATCGCAAGTTTTAATTGGAGAATTGAAAGTGTGCACACTTTAAATTCTCCAATTAAAACTTGCGATTTTATTTAAATATTATCATAACTTTTTATGTATGCATGCATACATATTTTTAATAAACATCCAATTAAAACAAAATTTACCGTCAATTTTTTTTTATTTTGCTCTTAAAATTTTAGTTATGACCTAATTAACAAGAATATAAAAAAAAATTAGGTTTCACAGAAAGTCCAAAAATCACCTCTCAGAACAGCACCGTGCGCAGGTTTTCAAGAATATTCGGTCACATTTTGGCAAACTTTTAGGGCGTGTAACAATTAAACAAATCTATTAATTAATAGATTTTTTTAATTGAGCCACACTGATTCACCCCAGTATTTCCACTTTTTAAGAAAAAAACTTTTCCATATATAATATTTATTTAATTTGTAGCACAACATGTATGAATTCTCAAAAAATCTATTAATAGATTTTATCTCCACGCGGTCTATAATTTAAACTTTATTTTTGTCAACATTCGATAAAGAAATACCTTGTTATGGCCTAGGCCGATAAAAAATTTTATGAGGCAAGTATATAGTTCGATTTTTTCTCGCTAGGGGTATTGTTTTGACAAATTAATCCTTTTCTAAGAAATTAACGTACTAAACTGGTTTAATTTATTTATAATAAGCATGCTTAGTGCACTAATTTATTTGTTTTACTGTTAATGTTTAATATTTTTCATTAAATTATTGTAAGTAAAATTAAATATGAATAAAACAAAAAGTGAGGTTAGGCAACCAAGAAAACGCACGATTTCTACGATTTATATTATCTTTAATTAATTTAATTAGTTTTAATTTGCTTTAAGTTTTCAGTGAAATTAAATGTTAAACAAAGCTTAAACATTCCTATTTTTTAAATAAAAATCCAAAAAATCGAAATTAGATACCTAGGTACCTATTTATTAAACAATTAATTGAATGCAATGTAATAGCAAAAATCCATTTCTACTTAAATCATGTAGCTAGGTCCCAGGTAGCACAACGTGACGAAACCGTGACGATTTGTGTCCATTGTGTCCAATTGGACACAAATCGTCACGGTTTCGTCACGTTGTGCTACCTGGGGTATTGTCAAACTATTACTGCTTCTAAAAGCAATAATAATTATTGTACATTTAATGTAATCTTTAGCTAATAAATAAATAAGATTCTAAAAAAGTGAGGTTAGGGCGCTTTGATGTTGAAATAAATTGACCCTTTTTATATATAAAGTGCTTTGAAGATAAAATGTTGTATGCCATTCGGCCAAGAAGTGTCTTTTTGTGCTTCGCTCAAAACCTTGAGCTTAGCACAAAAAGCCTTACTTCTTAACCTTATGACATAAATAACTATTTTGAGAATTCATACATGGTGTGCTACAAATTACATAAATATTATATGTGAAAAAGTTCGTATACTATTTTTTTTTCTTAAAAAGTGGAAATACTGGGGTGAATCAGTGTGGCTCAGTTTGTAGGTATAAATAAGTGTTGCGAGCAGTCAGTATTAATTTGACCGTAATCATATAAAAATGTACGATTTGGCGTCTATTTTTTCAGGCACCAATTTGGCAAAAACAAACATTAAATTCCTTATGAAAAAATGATCCAGAAATCATCAAAATGTTCAGATTTGGGTATACCCATATATGGGGCATCTGCGTATAACTTTGAACCGTTTTGAAGAGGGTAAGCCGGTTTTGAAAAGGTAGAGAGAAAGAGAGAGCGTGGAAGACAATAGGAGAGATTTTTCGTTCCAAAACCGTCGTTGATGAAAATTTAGAAAAAGTCCGTGATTAGTGCAGCTTGACTGACATACGAATAATGGCTATAGCCACCGTTCTTACCTATTCCTATAGGAATAAGTAAGAACGGTGTTTAAATAATTTTAACGTATAATTGAATATAAGGAAAATATGCGTTAAAGTTGTTCGGAAAATGTTCTCAGAACCTTATTCAAAGAATAATTTAAAATGCAAAATTAAAGATAAAAATCAGCCAAGGAGCCACAGAACTTCAAACTGTCGCTGGAGCCTCATGGCCCCACGCGACACTGGTTCGCTCCATTGCAGACAAAATTAGATTGGTCAAATTTTTATTGAATGCCTTGCAAAAATTATATGTACAAACTAAAACACGTAATAAGAAATAAATTAGTCCTATCATCCACACCGTGTATGTTGAGGTATTAATATAAAATAACCTTGATAATTGTATACAAAGTTACCATGGAGGTATTATTTTTTGGAAAATGTTGTTGTCAAATTAACTTTTTAATAAATGTTGTATATTTGGGTCTAATTACAGAAAAAGTCTTTTATTACCTAAGTTTAAGTAAATAGTTTTTAGATGGCTTGATTTATGATTTAAAAATAATCTTGTAACAAGCTTGTAAGCTAGCTATTTTTAAAATCGAGAACATTTTTTAAAATGAAAAGTCAAAACAATTAAGTAAGTTCCAATACAAACTGGTTTTGAATGTTATTTTAAAAATGTGTTTAATTTGGTTGGTATAAACTCGAACTTATTTTATCTACTCCTACATTGACGAGTTGTAACTTTATGGTGTTTTATTGACGGGCTGAAGTTAACAACAGTGGCTTTTCGACATTTTACGTCACGGGCTGAAGTTAGCTTTATTATAAATTGGGAAAAAGTGAGGTTAAATTCGGGTGACAGTTGACAGATGTCAAAATTTTAACAAATAAAATTGGCTTTAAATTCTGTTTTGTGTTCGTCGTAGATAAAGTATAGTATGCAACTCGTTTATAAACTTCTCTAGACACTCGTTTTTATTAAACACTCGCTCGCAAGCTTCGCTCGTGCTTAATTAAACTCGTAACTAAAATGGCGTTTATAAAACTTGATATATCAATAGAATAAAAAAACATATAATTACAAGAATAAAAAAACATATAATTACAAGTTGTAATAATTATTTAGAACCAATGCGTGTAAAAACATAAGTAAATAATAGTATATTATGTATACAAAATATACTATTATTTACTTATGTTTTTACACGCATTGGTTCTAAATAATTATTACAACTTGTAATTATATGTTTTTTATTCTATTAAAATTTTATTTTATAATAATTTATAATAATTAACCCAACAACTGATAAACTTTTATTATTTAATTATTATTATTTTATTAAAAAAAATAAATTTTATAAATTGAATTCTAGTAATTTCAAAAATATTTCAATCCTTTTAAAAAACTTGAATTGGTTTTATTTTATAGACAATAAATCCTTTAGGTTGGTGCTAATGACCAAAGCATTTGACGCACTTAAATTATATTTAAGTATTTCAGAAAAAAAACATTTAAAAAAGCTATGGCTAATTTAAAAAATATACAAAAATTACTATCCAAGCCAGCCGGGCAAAGTTTTTATTACTTAAACATGATTGTATTTTTGTCGAAAAATATTGCCTTTAAATATTTTTTTCTACTTCCATCTTTAAAACGCCTATTATCGTACACGTTCCCATGACACTAAGTGACCTTTTAAACACATTGACAAGTTGTAGCTTTGTGGCATTTTAGTCAAGTGCAGAAGTTAACAACAGGTTTTTAGTCACGGGCCGAAGTTAGTTTTAAGTTAGTTGACAGTAACTGTTGTCAAATGTCATACAATCGTTAAAAGAAATTGCCTTTCTTGTAAAATAATACTAAATGTGAAAATTATTTTATTATCTCAATACAAAAATGCAAAAGTATTAAATAGTTTCTCAACGCCAATATTTGAAAAGTGTAAATGAACATTGTACTGACCTTTTAATTTCGCCGGCAAGAAACTAGATTTAACCTA